AAAGTGGTCAAATTTACCATACCCAGTGTTGCAGTGAAATTTTAAGGAAAAATTAAATTATACATTCCCAGGAAGGTTGCACAATGGCTAAGATTATTCACTCCCACTATATGGTCCTTTGCATTTATGTACACAAGCTCTGATTGTAAACAATATACATGAGGATGAGTTGAGTTTGAAAAATATGAACTCTAGTTTTCATTTCTCTGGTGTTTTGTATCCTGTTCAAACATGCTTGACATCCTTTCCGTATAATTCGATTTAATGAATGCAAAGTAGTCTAAGGAAGACAAGTAAAATCTATAAAACAGATACTTTCATTTGCATTTTAACAAATTGTCAGCAGCATTCAGTCTGAACACATGTTTCCTAAATTTGCTATGTTTTGTAGGTATAAGCAGAGGGGTGTCCAAGAAGAATTGCTGATTCTATCACAAGGCATGCCAGGGCACTTTAAGACTTTGTAACGAAAGAAAAGAAAATCACTCTTCCATTGAGCAAGCAATACATGTCTTTTCTGCAGCAGGTAATCTAAAATAGATGTAACAGAATCTAAACTAAGGATCGGCAGATATGCTAAGTGTAGTAGAAGGCATCTTCCTTTCTGTTGCAATTATTGAGTCCATCCTGGGAGTTTTAGGGAACGGGTTTATTGCACTTGTGTACTGCATTGACTGTGTCAGGAATAAGCTCACTATTCTTGGCTTTATTCTCACTGGCTTAGCAATTTCTAGAATTTGTCTGATAGGGATGATAATCATACAAGGATTAATGCACATATTGTCTCCAGATATCTATTACTCTATTAACCACTTTGAATATAGTAGTTACATGTGGCTAATTATTAATCAATCCAGTGTCTGTTTTGCCAGCAGCCTCAGCATCTTCTATTTCCTGAAGATAGCAAACTTTCCCCACTACATATTCCTCTGGTTGAAAATGAGAATTGGTAGAATTCTTCTTCTTCTGATGGGATTCTTGCTTATTTTATTGTTAATTATACTTCCACAAGTCATGAAGTACTTTAATGATAATAAAATGAAGAGCAGAAACACAACCTGGCTATTCAACATGCATAAAAATGAACTCTTTATTCAAAACCTTTGGCTAAATGTCGGAGTCATCTTCTTCTTCACACTATCATTAATTCCATGCTTCCTATTAATCATTTCCCTTTGGAGACACAACAGGAAGATGCAATTGAACAGCACAGGATTCAGAGACCCCAGCAC